AAAAACGGTTTTAACATGGGTTTCAATAATGTGGGCTTTCAACATATTATTTTGACACAGAACAAATGATCAGAAATAATATATTATTAATATAATTATGAAATAGTTTAGATTGGGATGACCAAATTTTAATCTGTTTTTATATGTTTATTTTTTATACAAATTTACAAAATCTTTTTATTTTTTTAAACATGTTAAATTAACTTTTAATTTTTAGGCATATTGAGTCATAATATAATTTTTAAAATAATTTGCGGTCATTTCCATTGTCTTTATATATAGTATACAATTTTCTAATTAACTATATATGTTTAATTTTTTTATATGATATCGAAGATTGATCATACAATAGATGGTTTAACACGCCAAAAATATTATATGCTAAGTGAATATAATATGATCAAGTATTACAAGTATATCATTTAATAAAATAAATAATTAACAACTGGAAAATCATACCCGCGCTGGCGCGCGGGTCAATGTCTAGTTTAACCTTAACTAAAATGGCATGTTTCACTAAATTTTAACCCAACTTGGACAAAATAGGGCCCGGCCCAGAAAATTTGTTGAAACTGATGCTTTCTAAAAGTGTAATATCCTCCGTCCCCTAAAACTAAAATCATAGCTTTATTCTCAACCCAATGGGACACTTAGAGCATAATTAACAGGGCACCTTAAGAGGATTTTTTTAGTCGAGGAGTCCGTTAATTTGGCACCATAGTGATTGGTTCGCTTTAATTTTTTTTTTCAAACAAAAAATATTAAGAAACTCTCAGCAGTGTTAATGATACTCTTAGAACATGTGTATTGATGAATCCCCGTTGGGGATCGTAAATGAATTTTTTATTATTTTTTAATTATTTTTTGTTTGATTTTTTTTAAAAAAAAATTAAACTGACCAAAAGCGAAACACCACGTGTCGTGGATTCTGCTAAATAATGATGAACACGGATCAATAAAGAGAGGCGGCCTTACAAAGAATCACATTAATTAAATTAATTTAAGATATTTTTTTTGCTTGGGATCCGTGTGAACCCGTTACAAATATCATCAATACACATATTCTTACACGGTTACACCAGAACCTAATATGAACTTAGAATCCATTTTTCATAAATTACACACAAGTTATATCTTTATTTACACTCTATAATTTCTTTCAAAATGGAATGAAAAGGAGTGATAAACAAAAATAAAATAATATTTCAGAAATACAATAATCTTTTATGTTTTTTTTTTTGTAACAGTCTTTTATGTTTTATTTACTTTATTTTCACTCTATTTTTTTTGAATAAAATAGAGTAAATTATGGAGGGAATAGAGATGCTCTAAGTTCGTATAATTTCTTGAGCGCATTATATATTTGTTCTGGTTACAGCAATTAATCAACTGGATCCACCATCATCATCACTTTATACCTTTAATTAATAAATCATTCATGGGATTAAGAAGTCAGAATAAAAACAGAAAAATTAGCAGGTGGGACCCAGTATTTTCCCAACACATGGACTGTTACTCACTCACCTAACGAAAGAAGAAGAAGAAGCAGAAGAACAACACAACAACAAACAACAAAATAGATCTCTTCCTCTCAAAGTCTCCACCTTTTTTTTCTTCACTCCTTCAAAAAACCCTAACTTTTGATTTCAATCACTTCTTCCGTTCCCAATGTCATGATCTCTCCCCTCTTCCTTTCCCGAGAAAAAACCTCCTGGAAAAAATCAATCAACAATGTCGGCCTTTCTCTTCAAGAGCACTCTCTTCTTGATCCCGATTTTGACGATACTCACCTTCTCGACCTGCAAAGCTCGAATCTTCACGTTCGAGATGCACCACAGATTCTCCGACGAAGTCAAACGGTGGTCCGATTTAACCGGACGATTCGGTAGTTTCCCTCCTAAAGGAAGCTTCGAGTATTACAACGCTCTCGTCCTCCGCGATCGCCTTATCCGCGGACGACGTCGTCTCTCCGAGTCTGAATCGGAGTCGGCTCTCACTTTCTCCGATGGAAACTCTACTTCTCGCATCAGCTCTCTCGGATTGTAAGTTACGATTTTTTTTCTGCTTAGATACTCTGTTTTTAAGGATAAAGTCTGATTCTTTTTTACTTTTTACTTGTTTTAATGTTTAGTTTGCATTACACGACGGTGAAATTGGGAACTCCGGGGATGAGATTCATGGTGGCTTTGGATACAGGGAGTGATCTCTTTTGGGTTCCTTGTGATTGTGGCAAATGCGCACCTACTGAAGCATCTGCTGCTTACTCTTCTGTACGTTTTTTTCAACACTTAGCAGTTACAGTTGTTTAGTTTACTTGTCTTACCACTTGCATTATATATTATATAGGAGTTTGAGCTTAGCATTTACAACCCTAAAGTTTCAACTACGAACAAGAAGGTCACTTGCAACAACAGCTTATGTGCGCAGCGTAATCAATGCCTTGGAACGTTCAGTACTTGCCCTTATATGGTGTCTTACGTCTCTGCTCAGACTTCGACTTCTGGTGTTCTTATGGAAGATGTTATGCACTTGACTACGGAAGATAAGAATCCTGAGCGTGTTGAGGCTTATGTCACATTTGGGTTAGTTTAGCAGTTTTTAGCATCATCTCCTCTAATTGTGAGTTACTGAAAGAACTGTGGAATGTGTGCAGGTGTGGACAGGTTCAGAGTGGTTCTTTTCTTGACATTGCGGCGCCAAATGGTTTGTTTGGACTCGGCATGGAGAAGATATCGGTTCCGAGTGTGTTGGCGAGGGAAGGTTTGGTTGCTGATTCTTTCTCAATGTGCTTTGGACATGATGGAGTTGGGAGGATAAGTTTTGGGGATAAAGGTAGTTCTGATCAGGAAGAGACACCCTTTAATCTCAACCCTTCACAGTAAGTGGTGTTCATTTACTTTATCCGGTAATGCCAAGAATGTTCCTTGTAAATGACCTTGGTGAAATTTTCATTCATGGCAGCCCAAACTACAACATCACGGTGATTAGGGTACGTGTGGGGACAACACTCATAGATGATGAGTTTACAGCTCTGTTTGACACTGGCACATCGTTTACTTATTTGGTTGATCCCATGTATACTGCAGTCTCAGAGAGTGTAAGCTTATAAACACCATAAGATTTCTCTTGTTTTGGTGACTGTATGAATCACATTGTCTTCTTCAGTTTCATTCACAGGCTCAAGATAAGCGCCATTCACCGGATCCAAGGATTCCCTTCGACTATTGCTATGACATGAGGTATGAGTTTGTATCTATTCGATGCTTCTTTGTCTCCTCCACTCATATCTAAACATGTTTTTTCTTGTGAACTGTGTGATTAGCTCTGACGCGAATGCTAGTTTGATACCGAGTTTAAGCCTCACAATGAAAGGAAACAGTCACTTCACCATCAATGATCCTATAATCGTCATCTCTACCGAGGTCATTCATAGTCCTTCTCTATACTTCTTTCTCTATCGGTTACTGTCTTTCTCAACAGAAGACTTGCATTTTTACAGGGTGAGCTTGTGTATTGCCTAGCCATCGTCAAAAGCTCTGAACTCAACATAATCGGACGTAAGATCAGTTTTGCTTTTCATGGATCATCTAACATCCTTTAAACAATGACCTAACGTTGTGCACTCTTAATGAAACAGAAAACTACATGACCGGATATCGTGTAGTATTCGACAGAGAGAAGCTCGTCTTAGCTTGGAAAAAGTTTGATTGTAAGTTTCCTTCCTCTTACGTTTGTTATAACACTTGACTTATGTGATCTAAGACTACCTCTTGACGCAGGCTATGATATTGAAGAGACAAAGACAACCCTTGCTGGAGCAAACAAAACAGAGGCGGTGGCTCCGGCGATGGCAGCCGGAATAAGGACTCATAATAACTCCTCAGAGCTACACAAAACAAACCAAACCAACACTAAAAGTAGTGCTTCCTCCAACCAAAGATTTAAAACAGTAAAGCTATGGTCTTTCTTCAATTTTTTGTTCATATTACTTTCACTTTTATAGAGTTGTAGTAGTAATCTTCTTAAAGTCACACTCCAGAGACACACATTTTGTTTGTATCATAACGAGATTATAGAGATCAGCCTCTTCAGGAAAGTATATGTTCTTCCACCCCTGCCACTCTATCAACTCTAGCTTTGACAGTTTCTTACACATATCCCTCTTGTCAACTCCTATTAAAACATTATTGTCCGACAAATGTCTATCGATGCTAGTCTACTAGATTAGTTGGAAAAAGATTATACAGATAAGGGAGAAGATTCACATTACAGATATTTGTATTTAAGAAATATTCAATTTTGTGTAACATTGACATTCTTTTTGTCAACAACCATAGACATTTTAAACCAAGATGACAACATTCTTATTAGGCTAATAATTACTACAGTATGATTCAATATTCAACTTAATTATATTCGAAAACTTACAAAGTCTTTTATTACCTATAACAAATCATAAATATCAATAACCATGGATATTTATTTTTCCCCAAAAATCAGCAAGACAGATATATTCACTGCCAGCCAAAACTGTCTAGATTATAATCAATAACATTTATAAACGGTAGGTACAACAAATCTCTATCATAAAAGTAATAAAGTTAAAATTTTGAAAAATGTAATGGTCAAGATTTTTATTATGTAACGTTGGGACAGTAAGAATTAGAATCAAATCTCCTGCACTAATTTTTGTAGCAATTCTAAAAGTGTCCAAATGTTTGATTTTTCCAAGAATCAATCTAACAGTAAAATGGAGTAATATAAATTTATAGCAGCAAAGACGTAGAGTCTTTCTTCAAATCTACCATATAAAAGACCAAAAATTGATGTAGAAATTAAAAACATGTTTCACCTATTTTAAGAATATTTTTTAAAACTGAACGACCAATTGTTTACTGACACGTTTGATTGTTGTCTACTTACTAACGTCAACAATCCACCAATGAGCTTATCAGCCAATAAGATTCAGAGAAACAAACATTGTGTTTTTACTTGTGTTAACACCAAGGGTAATGTCGTAACTTCACTCCCCCACGTTAATCGGTAGCCAAGACAAATCCAAACGGCAAATGGTAAGAAAAAGAAGAAAATGTAATAAAAATGGAAATAAATTAAAAAAAAAAAGAATAAGAACGGAACCAAAGAGAGAGAGAGAGAGAGGAGACTAGACTGCTTGCTCTCTTCATCGTCTTCTTCTCCTTCCTGTGGGATTAATTTTTGGAAAAAAATCGAACAGTTTCCATTTTCGTTGTGCATTTAACACTCAAACCATAACCCTAAACACTCTGAATCGCACGGAGGTTTCGTTCCATCGGATTTATTTCACCACTAACTAACTCTCTTTCTTTCTTCGATTGTTTTTAGATATTTTACTCTCGATCGGAAGCTCATAACAAACCCTAATTTTTGTCCCGTTGATTATGGCCTCCGCCGCTTCTAACCACTCCACTTCAATCGAGAATCGCGGCGGCTCTACACAACCACGCCGTCCCTCTCCGTGGAGTCAGATCGTCCGCGGCGAATCGGAGCCGACGATCTCCTCCGCCGCCGCCGCTGCTCCTTCCTCTCCTCAATCCAAGGCTCCGATTGATCCGAATCCTTCTCCCTCCGTTGCTCCTCTTATGACGGATGCTGGAGACGATAGATCGGAGGAGTGTGGTGCTCAGGGGAATGCAGGGAAGAAACCAGTTTGGAAGAGGCCATCTAATGGTGGGGCTTCTGAGGTTGGACCTGTGATGGGAGCTTCGTCGTGGCCTGCTCTCTCTGAGACCACTAAAGCTCCTTCTTCCAACAAGTCTTCCTCTGATTCGTTAAAGAGTCTCGGCGATGTACCTTCTTCGTCGTCATCGGTGGTGGTGGTCCCTGTTTCTCAGGTTTGATTGATTCTCATGACTGACTCTATGGTTGCTGAAAGTATGTAAATGTGATCTGTTTGCTGTGGAATGATTAGAACTGTGTATCGTAGAGATTGATGAAGCTTCTTGGTGTGTTGTTGCTATCAACCTTTATAGCTTTTTGATTGTTTCTCACTCATTGCCCTTTGTTGAAATAAATCTTAGCTGCTTGCCTAAGTTGTTACGGTTGGATTCTTACTGCAATGTATCATCATGTAACCTCAGCATCTGTATATTATGTCACATTATGTGTGTTTAATATCTTCCTATTGTATTGCTAATACAGTTTTAAAGCCACTGAGTTCTGTTGTACCAACGGATATGAAAGTCTTTAGATGTTTCATCTGTTCAAAATCTCTTCTTTTGGATTTTGTAATGTCAAAATGCTTCTTTTTTTTTAATATATGCCTCCACTTATTCATTTGTTATTTTATTGTCGATGAATCTCCTTATCCTGGTTTAATAATGAGAATGCTTGTGTGTCTTTGGTTTAGGGAAATGCAAATGCTCCTTCTGTTCCTGCACCAAAGCAAGGTGGTCGTGCAAACCCTAACCCAACACCAAACAACTCGCGCCAGAGATCATTTAAACGGAATGGCGCTTCTGGATCAGCTGCTAATGGTACTGTTTCTCAACCGTCAGCGCAAGGTCCACTTATCGAAACGCCTTCACACAACCCTTCTCCTAGAGGCCAAAACCAGAAGAATGGCGGTAGTGACAACTTTTCACCACGAGACTCTTACAGGAACCAAAACGGTAACCACCACCACCACCAAAGTCATGGTGGCAGGCGCAACCAGGAGCACGGAAATCAAAACTGGAATTTCAACAGAAGCTTTAACGGGAGAGATGGAAATGCACATTCACAAAGAGGTGCTCCAGCATTTGTAAGACATGCACCTCCACCTATGCAGTCAATTCCTCCTCAGTTTATGGCAGCTCAGCCTATTCAGCCTTTTGGCGGTCTTGTGCCCTTTTCTCCTGGTGAGATACATTGAAGATCACGTCTTTGAATTTTTGTTTATTATTTTTCTAATGTGTGTCCATTTCAGAATTGTCATCTCCATATTATCCCCGTATGCCTTTCATCGGCCCTCCCTCACCTGGTCCCGTCTTCTTCCAAGTCCAAGAACCTCCTCTAGACATAAAACTACAGAAGCAAATACATTATTATTTTAGGTAGTACCTTTTTATTGAATCTCTCTTATTCGTCTATTTCTCGCCTGGGAAGGAGTAATTTAGATGCAAATGTTTCTTTTTGTTACAGTGAAGAGAATTTGATTCGAGACACATATCTTCGTGGGCACATGGATGATCAGGGTTTTGTTCCGCTACATGTGATTGCTGGTTTCAAGAAGGTAAATTACTTTCTGGATGTGCCGTCATAAATGGTGGTCTGATTCACCTATCTCAGATTATGATATCTAAACACTGCATCTTATTTTATATTGAAGTTCAGTTACTTTCGAGTCTGTAGAATTCCACCAAAACTTTTCTTAAGACTCACAACTGTGAATTAGGGTGTACTTGTATTCAATCTAATAAGACATTAGATACATATTTGTGCAGTTTATATACAGCTGTTCCAGTTGATAAATTATGTCCCACATTAGAAATTCGATCATGAATGCTTCTTTTGCTCTCGTATAATGTGTTTTTAATATGTTAAACTTGATAAAGTATGACTAATTCGCGGCTCACTTGGCTCTATCTCATCAATGTTCATTGCTTTTGTTTTTTCTTCTCTTACACGTTGTTGCTTAGTACCATATGTCCAGAGTTTTTGTGTATTATTCTCTGACTTGTAGCTATCTGTGTTGCCTCTTTTTCTCCTTGTTCAGGTTGCAGAACTTACGGGTAGCATACAGCAAATGGTGGAGGCTCTACAAGGTTCACCATTTGTTGAAGTGCAGGTATTTCTTGTCTATATCTCCTTTAGTGAGTAAGCTTTTTGAATTACATTGTCTTTCCTTGCAAGTAGAATGGTTGTAGGTGAATATGACATTTTCATTAGGGATTTTGATAATCAATTTTTGTTCGTTCTGAGAGAGAAAACTTATAAAGCTTCGTTAGAACATGCATTTCAACAGTTTGTTTTGAAATTATTTGCTTTTATATGATTGCAAATGCTATTTTGTGGCTTATTAGGGTGACAGAATAAGGAAGCGCTATAATTGGCAACATTGGTTGCTTCCTGAAGTGGCGAGCCCCCAATCAGTTGATGCAGTTGCAAGCGGAGTTAGAAACTTGTCAATTGGTCAGAGCTCGGCGGAGCCAATTGGTGGTTCAAGCAATCAGTTGCAACCTGTGGAAGCAGGAAACAAAGCTGCTTCAGATGGTCAGCAACAGTTTTCTGTTGTTGGTCAGGTGAACAACCTCAACGGGTCAGATGGTGCAAACCGTTGAACCATCATGTTTGGAACTGTTGGTTAGTGTTGGACATGAAATATATTATTTTGTCCTGACCGGAATCAGGAAAAAATACAATAATGATGGGGAATCAAAAAAGAGAGTAAAAGGTAAGGCATAAAACCAAAAAGAGAAAAGACTCATGAAAACAGAAAAGGGATCAAACATTTCATAAACTTTGGCATATTTATGGTTCTTTCTTGGTTTTGGTTGTTTTTTTTTGGATGCTAGTAACTCTTTTTGTGTGTTTATGCTACTTTGCTACATATGATGGTCATTAACAGTTGCTTGTAAACCATTGTTATGGTCTTGGGATTTATCGGTTTTGTTTTGCCTATTACCCTCTCGATTTTGTTCCCCTAATCATCAGTTTTGTTTCTTTTTCAAAAATATATTCGATTGCTAATGAGAACCGTCTAAGCAAAGATAAAGTTAACTTCAGAGAAGACTCGTGAAACCCTCATTCCTCAGAAAAAAAAAGCAGAAGATTTAGTAAAGTGAAGCAGTAGCTAGACAAGTGTACCTTTAATCAGTCTTATTCGTAAAAGTGTACAGAGAAACAAGATGCCAACAAAAAAAAACATGTACCAAACGGCGCCTCGTGTTGTCGTTTGCTTGTATTGCTTTGATGTGAATATTGAAGAAAACACGTGTTTCACGCTCTGTTAACGTTGTACTGTTGTGTAAAGTACGAATCTTTGAATGGGTGAGTCGTTATGTAATTAAACTATCTAGCAAATTGTTCGGCGAGTCCCTAAGTAACTACAGTAAATAAACATCATGTGACGTAAAATCTCGTATTTCATTTGCAGAATGAAAATAACACTTGTTTCGCTCTCATAACCCATAAGTTTGACATACATCAATTTTAAAATGTTGTCAGATTATCGTAAAGTTTTCATGTGTATGTGGAGAATAGGCTTAATAACTAATAAGCGTATGACCGTGAACTTGTTACTCCTTTCACGTATGTGCAAACTCAAACTGAAATATTTGGTTTTCCGCATAATAGTAGTTAGGCAGTTTGTCTTTGAAAAGTTTGATATAATTACAGCGAATTAAGTTTTACGTACTAATACCTAACATAACAAGATTTTTTTTTTTTTTTTTCATAACAAGATATTTATCTTTGAAGCCTAAGATAATCTGGTAAGTTACTACCATTCAAACTCTCAAAACCATATAGGCTCTCCTTAATCTAGTCATCTGTACACAACCACAACAACACTTACATATATCAAAATATTTCTTCATATTCACCCAAATGTGGAAAACAAAATGAACAACCCAACAGAAAAACCCAAAAATTAGAATTATTATCTATTCTGAAAACCCTAGTTCACAAAACACACCAAAAGCATAGAAACTTGCCCAATTCTTCTTTACCATTTGGAGATGAGAAAAGTACACATATCCAAGCATTTTGCAGTATCCAACGGTTAGCATTGTTCTGGCTCTCTTTCAAATCCAAGTTTTCGTTTATTTATTTTATTACTAGTTTTAGTAGTATATTATTACAACTACTGTATATGTTCGTACCGTCTATAGACAACCTACGGACAGGTGATTATTGTACGGACTAGTGGAACTAAAAGAATCCAATGGTCATAAGCTCACGGCTCAGGCATATTGTTCGTTGGATTATAAATTCAATGTATAAACGAAAATCATTAAATACGTGTATAATATATCATCACATCGTTTCACTTGTCCTGACTTATTTCGAGTCTATCAACCTTTTTCTCTGCAAACGAGTTTACTTTTTGTAAACCATCTAAGTCTCCCTAGTTTTTCTAATGTTATTGTATTGCAAGCTTAAACTACGCATTTTATTTCCAACCAACTTGAAATAGTCTTAATATATCATCAAACTGATAACACTTGTATTTTACTAGGGACAACAATCTTATTTCATTAGATTTTATGTAAGGACATGTAAGAAACTCTTTATACAAAAATTTATGTGGATTAATATGACCCACATGACATTACGCTAGCTCAACCTAGGACTATCTCAAATAAATTTTAGACGGATGTTTAAAAAAAAATTAACGATATATTTATGATTTAATGAATTTTTTTTAAAACTTAATAACTACTTTAAATGTTTCTTTTAAAATTATAATTTCTAATATTGCAATATATCTAATTTTTTAAAAAAATTATCATAATTTATCTATATATTTTTTAAAAAATTAAATTTTTATTTTTTTTATTTTTTTTATATATAGATCATGTTCGACTGTTCCACTTATACATGCTATTAGACGATCCTACCTCCGCCGCTCACATCATAATAGTTAAAAAATTGAAATATGAAGTTAGTAAGATGTTATTCCAAAACGATTTGGTAATATCCACAATTATACACCATAGGCTTTAATACTACACAATTATATATTACATGATAAAATGAAATAAAAACAACACAGCAGTTTTTATTAAATTATGGAAAGGTTTTAAACTGTTGGGATAATCCTAAGACCATGTGTATTGGGGTTCATAACTGGAATTTTTTATTACTATTTTTTTCGTTTGATTTTACAAAAAAAAAAAATTAAATAAATAAAAAATTGCATTAACCAATAGCAGGTCACCACGTGTCATAGACCCTGCAACACAGTGATGAACTCCACCCCTCACAGATTCACAGGGGAGAACTGGAGAGAGACATGATCATGGGCAAAACATTATTTTAGTATATTTTCTTTTTGAAAATTGTGTGAATCTTGGCCATGATCCTTCAATGTACATGGTCTAAATCTACTATTTGCGATTTTGGCAACTTGCAATTAAAGATGGACAAAATCCATAAAACTTGATCTGTTCAGTTATTGACTCGATATGATATGAAAAATTCACATATCCGTAAAACCACAAATTAAGTTAAAATTCAATATCTGTCAAATATTTAACAAATCACAAATATTAATATTAGAACCGTATCGTTGTTGTTTAGCAGTTGTTCCACATGTTAATATTCAAACCCTAAAAAGAGATTTGATGGAGTTTGAGACAGAGTAACATCCTGCTACCATCTGTTCACTCCCCAATGAGACATGACAAGTCAAATTCTCTCCCTCACCTTTCATACAACTCACATGTCTGCATAGTTAGTTTCATTACCTAAGGCTAACTTCATCTCAAAATGATTTGAAATAGAAATCATATAGCTTAAAACTTTCTTTTATTTAAATGTTTGAGCTAATTTCTTCATTAACCAGTTCCCAATGTATTTTTTGCATATGTTAAAAAATGAGATGTTTCCTCGGGAGCTATTTTTTTCATTTATAAAAATTTACTCAAAACGTATTTACTAAAATCATAAGTGTACATAGGTGAATAATTAATCATGTGGAACAGAATCTCAAGTTCAAGAAAAAGGAAGGAAAACTCTTACTGCGTCTTATTATACCATCAACTTGCGGTAAAGAAGAAAAAAAAATGAAAAGCGTGACTAGATATGCACTTGGAGACTGAACATATATGTTGCACAAAGAAAGAAAAAAAGACTGAACATATATATATATATATTTTTGAACACAAGACTGAACATATATATAAATTCTCGAATATCTAGATATCTGGAGGTAGATCATGTAACGTATGTCATTAATATGCAAGCGATTAGAAATAAATAAAAAAATTGACACTTGAAAATGATCCAAAAGGATGTCATCTTAAAAAAAAAAAAAGAGATTAAACGAAAGATTAATTATCTGCTTGCCTTTTCTCAAGCATATCTTCCCCACCCACTCTTTACATTTAAGGATCATGACAATAGTTCACTGACTTCACTTTGATATTATTAACAGCTTTTTGATCTTTACAAAACTTTGAAATTAAAGACATCAAAACTTTACTTGCATAGTTACCAGTTTTCCCTTTTCCTTTTACATATTTATCTTATAATATATATATATATTTCTGAATAGTTTCAATCTCTTCTTCTGGACCCCAACCATCATTCCAGAGATGACCGGCGAAAGTCAAGAAGCTATCTGAGCTCTCTATTCATACACACACACACTCTCTCTTTCTCTCTCTCTCTGTAGGATACAAGACATTTGACACCAAAGGGTTAAAGCTGTGTTGTTTGGTTCTCTTTTCCAATGATGTCATCAGCAAAGCATCAGAGAAACGTTAGAGTCTCTGCTACAAAGAAGAACAAGATTCTCAACACTGTTTCTTCCATTTCTTCCTCATCACCACCATCACCATCACCATCATCCTCCTCATCCTCATCCTCATCATCTCCTTTACACTCACAAGACTCTCAAGAAGCCCAAAAGAGTTCTTTAATCACCAATATGGAAGAAGTTTGGGAAGACATCAACCTTGCTTCCATCCACCACCTAAACCGCCACAGCCAACATCCACAACACAACCATGAGCCAAGGTTCAGGAGCCATAACCACCACCAGGACCAAAACCCTAACTCTATCTTCCAAGATTTTCTCAACAGACCTTTGAACCACGAATCAAACATACCCACAAGCCTCAATCGCGATACCACCACTGTCACTGCTCTCTTTAGCAGCTCTCCTTTGCCACCTCCTGAAACTGTTCTGAGCTTGAATTCTGGTGCCGGCTTCGAGTTTCTTGATAACCAAGATCCTCTTGTTACCCCTAACTCTACTCTGCCTCACCTCACAAACGTTCCTTCATTCAACACCTCTCTTGAGGATCTTACTTCTTTTGGTAAGAAAAGAGGCCAAGAGTCCAATGAAGGTTCAGGGAATAGAAGACATAAGCGTATGATCAAGAACAGAGAATCTGCAGCTCGTTCCAGAGCTAGGAAACAGGAATGTGCCTCTCTTCTACTAACCTTCTACTCCAGAAAGAAATAATGTGGGTTTTGCCATCGAAATGCTTTTGTTTTTAAAAAGGGTTTCTGGTTTTTATTCTCTTTTCCAGGCTTATACAAACGAGTTAGAGCTTGAAGTTGCTCACCTGCAGGCAGAAAATGCAAGACTCAGGAGACAACAAGAGCAGGTAAACAAGAAGAGAGAAGTTCTTATTGTTTTTTACCCTTATAGGTTATATAGAGTATTCAGCAACTTAAAAAGGAAATAAACATCCTCAGCATTCTTGTAGTATCTTTGTGTTACACACGTTTTTGTCCCATGACATGTTCAGTTGTTGGATACTAATACTTAAGTTATGTTTGTGTGCGTGTGCAGTTAAGAATGGCGGCAGCAAATCAGCAACCCAAAAAGAACACACTTCAACGGTCTTCCACAGCTCCATTTTGAGAAATCTACAAGTCCTTATCCCTCTTTTGGGGATTGAGAGACTTTCATGAAGTGAAAAAATGGAAAAAGTTTGTACTTTTTTTTATTAGCTATAAGTATAACTAAGCTAAATTTGTAGAACCAAGATATTGCAGGGTAAGGAAGTAGTAAAACAGAAAGAGAAAAGGATCTTTCCATTTCCTAAGGCACAGGAACACCTGTCCTGGCCTCTCTTGTTCTGTCATTTTCTATTCAAACCCTTTTCACTTCTGTACTAACTTATATTTTTGTAGTAATGCTACTTCCATCTTATAGTGGTAGTTTGAAAATTTACCTGTTATATTTTAGTGTTTAACCCATTTGGTTCTCAAAAGAAGCAAAGGATCAAGTGACCAATAGACAAAACGGTGCTCCACTTAAATGATGACACTACCAAAGAAAAAGCTAGAAGGTGACTTATCACTGAACATTTCTGTTTCTTCCTGCCTCATTATCACAAAAAAATGTCCATTCTTTACAAGCCAACAACTTGCATTATGAAACTGAAACCTCCAAACCAATGGGACTTAAGTCAACCACTTTTTTTGGTTGGTCAAGAGAGAACATGGTAGGGTTGGTTATGTTCTGGTTACTCTCTCCCCCACGTTTTACTTATCCATTATACTGAAGCTTTTGCTATACTAGTCATCAACAAAACACTATGTGTGTTTGTGTGCATTTGGTTTGTCAAGAGAATAGTTATATCCTCTTTTGGTCCAATATCAATTACCTGGCAGTGATAATAAGTCTATTGATGATGTCAAGAAGATTCTTCTTGATCCACTTTTGGTTGTTGTATTCTGTTAAGCAACCAAGAGTAGTAGTCATCAAGAGCTAACATGGCGTGGCACTACGATAGAGAAGAATTAATCGTTACCAAAAGTGGGATTCTGACTAGAATATATCCTCACATTATATGGTAACACTTAGAGCCCCTCAAATAGGCATCTAATACTTTAAATCATGCATTTTAGTTTCATTCCAGTCAAAGAGAATCCTAGGCTTCAAGAAAAGTCAGAACATTCACCTGAAACTATACACCTCCAGGTCCTCCACTATCATTCAATTGCTTACATCAATGTTTCTCATTACAACTTCAAACTGTTACCAGAACTTGATTACCAGCATAAAAAAAATAACGGCATAGATGGTCAAGTAACTAGTACATATGAAAGAAGGAACCATTGATATGTTGCTACCTTCACTCTGACCTTATTTTTTTAGTGTAAAAAGAAAAAAAAAATCATGAAGCTTTTGATGCATCACCTACCTCCTCAAGTATTTTTCCATCCTTTGGAACCAAGCATGGAATCCCATCTTTTATCTGGCGTGTTAATAGAAGCAAAATCAAGTCTTAAAACACAATCCTGAACGTAAAGTAAAAGCTAAGAATATAATTAAGAAGCAAAGCCAAGATTTAAAACAATGAAGCGTGATCATAAAGTTGAAATCTAAAAAAAAAATGAAGAATATGATTAAGAAGACAAGGGCCGACCAATCACTTTAACATATATGATTATTCCATCAGTGAACAGATTCATTTATATAACTTTATTTAGTATGACGCCAACGCAAAGAATCAAGCTCTATATATGTCCTATAATCTCAGTCATCGATTTGACAATACTTCAAAAAAATCAAAGTGGGAGATGTGATTCTGAGCGCATATATGATTGTGGGTTTTGCAGAAAGTTTCCAGCTTTGATGAGTTAATAAGAACCATACAGCTCGACACGAAACGACAGGTCAAGGACCTTTTTGCAAATAATCAGACAGAGAAGCTTACAGGAAAAGAGACACCGATTGTATCGCTGACCAGTGCTTTCGGCATCTCGCAAACCCTTTTGGAAAACGATTCGTACAAAAATGTCATAATCCGAACGAAACTTTGGGTATAGATGAGATTATATAGAAAAATTGAAGGAAGGAAGGAGAGAAATGGAAACCTCAAGGGTTGCTTAGAGAGAGGGCACACGAGAATCTCGGAGAGTGTCTTGTCGATTGCATGTCCGGCGTTTTTTAGCATCACTCTGCTTATTCTCACCATCTTTTTTAGCTTTGATCGTACAGTTCTCTCCGGCAGGATCGACCGGTGTTTTTTGAACAAAGCGATAGTGTTCTGTCCCAGACCGGAGTAAAACGCAATACGCTGTTTCTCAAAATTTCTAAATCAGTCCTTTTGATGTCTATTCTTTACAATATGTGATGCAACGTTTCAGAAATTTGATATATTAGTCTCTGTTTGTGAAAGTTTTTGATTTATGCCCTCAATTCTTATATTATACGTATTTATACAACATAATGTTAATCACTCTAACTAAAAATTCCATTAAATTGTTTACTTAAATCTATTTAAACTTTTTAATACTCAAACTTTTTTGCTATCTAATTTAATAGTCTAACTAATTATTTTGCTCACTTTAATATACAAACTTTTTAAATTATTACATTTTTAATATCCAAACTTTGTTTACGTTAATAAAAACTATGATAAATTTCAAACGAAATTTAAAATCTCTACAGATAAAAAAAATATCAATTTTTATTTTATTTTAAGATTTAGGAAAGAAGGTAACTAGGAAATTAAAAAAAAAAAAAATTGTATTTTCTAATTTCAGAAAACCTATAAACTTAATATTTAAAACTTAAACTTCTTATTACAAAATTTAAGATTATACACAAATTATCTACTTTTATTTCTCAAACATGAAATAAAATTAGTAAATTTTAAACTCATAGATTTAAAACTTAAACTTTTAAGCTCTAAGATTTTATTGTAAATTTTAGAGATTTTTAAAATTTTATTTGAGACTTATTGGTATTTTTTAATTAAAAGAAATAAAATTTAAGTATTAAAATAGATACAATTTTAAAAGTTTGTGTATTAAAGTGACCAAAATAATTAATTATGGTATTAAAAACTCAAAAATCTTGGTATTAAAAACTTAACAAAATTCAACTGAGACATTGTTATGGAATTTTTCCTGTATATTTCATTTATTTTCCTAACATGTCTATCAATATAAAAGTGTTAATGAACTTGTTTCTACTACAATTGACTACACAAGTAAAATTTGCTTTACCATTTGCTTTTCCCACAAATGGTAGTTTCATTCATTTTAGGAAAATTGAAGATTTAAATTATCATTATTTATCTAGTCTGGGTTTGAGATTCGGTGCAAGTGGTATATATGGTGAATCGTAGTAGATGATCGGTTTTTTTTTACATTAGTCCGAAAATAGTTCAAACTCGATCAAACACTGTGGTAAACCAGTCCATTCTGTAGTACTAGGTGCGTTTGACGGATTAGTTGATAGGATTTTGTAAAATAAAATAAAAATAGAAAAAAGTGTTGAAGAGACAAAGCTTCGTGGCATATTTTGTGAGTAGTAAAAAAACATTTTTCGTCGGTGAACAGATAACAAACGTAAATGGTAAGGCATGTGCATTTGGTAGCATCTCTAAAAAAGGACCCGACAAGTTTTGTAGTTTTGTTCTATTGGGTGCCCTACTAGAATCATAAATCTTATCATATAGTAACTTCTGCCGATGTTTTAGGCTTTTTAGCTATGGTAAAACATCTAATGCATTCTTCATCTTGGATGTGTAACATCTAAGAAACCCTTAATCGTAACACTATCATATATCATATGATCAAAGTAAAAGGATAGAATTAGTTTTAGTCTATAGTCTATCATGCACAACACAATTACTGAAATTTCCATGGGAATCCAAAACTAATTTACATGCGAGAAGCGGTTGAAGACAAAAGACAGTAAGAAAGTAGCACGAAGAAGAATCTCGTGTCATGTTCAGAGAGACAACATAGCGTTGTTTAGTTCACCTTTTTGTATTTAATTGAATATGAATTCAATGTTCCATGAACTGCGACGAAGGCGGACTTATTTTCGTCTTCTCCGTACCTGCGACGATATTAAAAGAGCATTATAGTTCAAGCTTCAAAACTAAAACCAAAGATATATCAATGTAGTTCATACCATAAGCCCCACGAATCTCAACTTCTCGCAGTTCTTGGACTAGAGCACAGCAACAACACATAAAATGAGATAGAAAATCGTCAATGAACCCTCCCTGCGAACATGAGGAAACATTTAAGGACTCATCCCAACAATGAAAGTGTGACACAAACGTGGATTTGAAGCTCTTGAGATGAAGTGTTTAAATATCAACCATGATAGTTACTAACAAAACTGTTTTTATTGGAAGCATATAGAGATGTATGGAATCAAAAGATTATTGAGATGGATTAGGGGTTTTTGAAGAGAATGTACCGTAATGTTGAGTGTTTTCCGGAGTTTCCTCCTTACACAACAAGTGTAGCAGCAACACGAAAGTATCAAAGAATATGCCATTAGCTCATTACATGCTTCAGCTGAAGCTGGAAGGGCCAAACACAAAAAGTCAACTTATTAGTTTTCACAAGTACTTTATTATAAACAAAACTGTAACATGACAAAGTTGACTATATCCAATTATATCACTTACAGATATGCCTGTTAGTTGCTGCAGTGGCAATCTTTGCCAAAGTACCACACGGGAAAAAAAATGTCTTCAAGCCTGCGGTTCCATCATCAAATGATTCACAATTTCCAGAAAACAAGAACGTATGGAATGTGGAACGCCAATAATCTTTCAAGAAGAGGGACTCACAAAGAGAAGGCTCGGCGCAACAAGCCAGTAAGTCGGTATGCCATTCCTCATGGTGCAGTGATGCTCTTCGTGAAAGCATATCCTGCCCCGATGTAACAGAAGAAGTGGATCTGCATGAAACAATTATGTAACCAGCGTTATACAAACATTGTATCCAAGCCTTTAACCATGAAAACAGGCTTGAATAGAATTACAGTCGCAGAAACTAGATCACAAGTTGCATTTTAAGAAAGCACATGAATGAAGTATCTAACCTAGAAGCTGCACGACTAGTGCTTTTCATGGGAGGATCTTCCTCATACGAATACTCAGTCTTATGACTAACACTACGGTCAGCCTTTTTGGAAGCTTTCTTGGACATCTCCTTCTCAGAGCCGCCATCAACCTCAGCAACAGTTTGAGTAACACCAATCAAACGCTGAATAACTTCACACTGCGCCACATCATAATGCTCCTGAGAACGCTGAAGCTCGAGCTGCAGTTTCTCGTTCTCAGTTTTAAGAGCATCACAGAAACGCAAGTTAGGGTATGAGCAAGAGAGAGTCTTCTTCAACACAGTCGCTGCTTCTCTAGTCGATTCTTGCTTCAAAATAACATCTTGCACATGTCTATCCTCCTCATCCAAAGTATACTCAAACTGATCACGATCAATATACTCTAACCTCTCCTGCATAGATTCCAAAACATACAAAAGTCAAGAATCAAGTTACAAAGAATCAAGAATCAAGAATCAAGAGTCAAGAACTCAAGAGTCAAGAGTCAAGAATCAAGAATCAAGAATCAAGAATCAAGAATCAAGAATCAAGAATCAAGAATCAAGAATCAAGAATCAAGAATCAAGAATCAAGAATCAAGAATCAAGAATCAAGAATCAAGAATCAAGAATCAAGAACTCAAGAACTCAAGAACTCAAGAACTCAAGAACTCAAGAAGAGGCACTTTAGAATGAAAACTCAAGCTAAAACTTACTCTAACACGAGCGTTATCAACCAAAGTGATGAGAGGAATGATCTTGAGAAAGCGATCAATCTCATCCTGAGCCTTCCTAAACTGGTAAACAATGTTCCAACCCATAGCCAACAGGTAGAGATAGCTCCGGTCACGGCAACTATTAACGAGAATATAAGACCTCCTCAGAGCATCCTCGAGACCTTCGAGAGGCTCACGAGTCTCTGGATACTTCTTCAGCTCAGAGATCTTGAGCTGCTCAAGCAAATTGCCGATGAGTTTGAGGTGTTGAGCGAACTGGCGACAGTTCTTCTTGTGCATCCACGCGGTGTTCGCGGCTTTGACGATGAGACCTATGAGTTTGACTGCGTCTAGGCCCGTGAGCTGAGCTACTGACGCGATTTCTCCGAGTCCATCCCATGAGTGAGACATTTGTTCTTGGATTCTACTCGAAAGTTCCTGGTGGTAGAGATTTATCATATCTTAGAACACACAAGCGAAATTTGAAGATCCAGAAGCTGAGATTGTTACCTTGAATTAGAGAATTGGATCGGAGTTCTTGGACGGCGACATTGTTGTATTCCGATGCCAAATCAGAGGCCGGTACAAGGAGATTGGGAGATTCAGCTGAGTAATTGAATCATGAGAGAGTGAAGCGAGACTTGACTGCGACGACAAAAGGAAACAAACCAAAAAAAAAAAGAGTCGTTAAGATACGAATCAAAAAGATTCTTCAGGTTGTTAGAGCTTTTCTTTTGTCAAAAGATCTTCAACGTCAAAAAAAAAAGAAAAAAGGTCTTAAAGACGGTTTTTCTTTGAACACTTGAAGCTGACGAAAGCGAAAACGAAAGATCCAGAGAATATAGAAGGAAAAAAAAGAAGGGGAAGGCAATGAAGAGTTTAACCTCCGACAAAATGCGCCGGCGAACAAACTCCACCGGCGAGAATCAAGTCAAAATAAGTTTTAAATTAAGAGAGAGAGGAAAGAGTATTGGGAAATGCTCACTTAATGCATTGAAGAAGGCAACAGTTATACTTTTTCCTATAAACAAAAAAAAAACAGATTAGAAAAATGGTAAATGCAGAGGAGAGAAGAATAATTAAAAAATAATAAATAAGTTTTCCGGGGGAAATGCAAAATGCAAAAGACCTTGGAGATTTGTTTCGTCGTCTTCGAAATGAGAGAAGAGAGAAGATTCTGCTGCGTCAAGAGAGGATTAGAAGACTATAATGCAGAGTGATGAGTCATAGGGAGAGAAGACGGTTTGTTTTTGTCGGATTATTTAGCTTTCCTTTTCCCCCACACCTTCACCAGTTGCCACTCGTCGGAGATGAAGAAGAGCTCTTTAGTGTAATTTACTAATATACCCTGCTCATCTCTCTTTATTTACCAGTGTGCCTCCGGTGACTTTCTTTTCACTATCCATTAAAGTCTATTAAAACCTACCTCGGTAATGTGCGTTTACACTAGCTACTGTCGAGTTATTTACATGTTGATTTTACGAAAGAGTCTTTAGGCTAACTTAATAACACCGTTAATCATATCTTGAAATTTCAGATTTACTATGTAAATTAAACCCCGTTGAAATATTACTTCCCGGTAAAAAAAAGTCCCCTTTTTACTGAGATGTGTGACTTTCTTGGTGTCGGCATAAAAATGACACCTTCTGAAAAGGATAATGTATTATGTAACTCTTCGTAATATAAGGGCAACATTAGTGGGAATTTCTTGCATTTGGTTCTTCGGAAATATATATATGTATGTATACATTATATATACGTATATAATATATACATACATATATATATTTCCGAAGAACCAAATGCAAGAAACTCCCAATAACGTTGCCTTAAGATAATCGATTAGACACTAGCTTATATTTTCGTGTTACTCCAAATAATCATGAAGGTATTTTAAAGAATTCCACAGTGGATCGAAAGTAGACATGATCGTCTGAACTTGATTTGTCTTCGGATTACAGTCATTGTAGTAATGAGTAACCCATCACAAACTCCACCTATTGTCCTCCTTTTTCGGTTAAAAATTATTATGTTTATGAAATGCAGTTATAGTATTATTTACCTTTCTATTCTATAAACTTTCATTTTGATTAATTGGCCCCCCATTTTGGTAGTGGACTACCCGTGGCTGTTCTCTAGGCAGCTGGCGATAGGTCGGTGAGACAATTTATCCGCGTCATTTAAGGACAAGTACATATTTTGGTTTCAAGACTTCAACCATGATAAGGAACAAAAGACTTTACCAACAGATAAATATGCCTTTGCTTTTTTCATATAACTATCCTTCTATACAACACACTGCCCATAACAAACAAATGCAAACTCAGGATAAAACGCTATGAATATCCATGGACCGTTAAAAAAAATCTGTATAAACCTACATTGGAAGTAAGTATATAACCTATCACTACAAGAAATCATAAATATTTTGGCACGTATACAATATGCATGTGTGGAAAGGTTGGACATTGGTGTTAGTGGTGGTCCTCGTGGAATATGACTGCTACGCCCTCTTCCTTTTTGATAGTGCCTATATACCATGCGTTTACTCTAACATAAATTATTTACTAATGTAATCAACTTTCTCCAAAAGTATGCTAACGATTTTAGCATTAAAATACTAGTTCCCGTTTCAATGTAATATTACAGTTGCTCCGTGACAATGACCAAGGTATTGAAAATAAAATAAAATATCTTGTAAATGTCCTGATGTTTCTTCTTTCTAGTAAGCCCATCACACATCGCACCCAAAACTGCAAATGAAACACCAATGACAATTAGGACGGTACCCAAAACAAAATAAACTAGTAGTCTAACATTAGTTATGTAATTTTGTGACATAATCCATTTTAACGCAAGAATGCGTGAGTTGTTCGAAAAAAAACGCAAGAATGCGTGAGTGGTTCGAAAAAAAAACGCAAGGATGCGTGTGTGCAGGTCTAAAACGCTTTTAATATATAGAATGTGTTTTCCGCAGCCAACAAATTAAGGTTACGGAAATGTTTTTGAACAAGAGTTTCAGAGGAAGTAAGACGAACTAATATATATTAGTGTATGATATCATATAAAAGTAATAAAGGAAACTTCGTATTGGATGTAATAAAGATTTGAGAAACTGTTGTTTTAGTTGTTTGGTGGATTGTCTCCATGTGATTTAGTTGGGAATAATCGTGCATCTTACTTTATCAGTATTAAAATAAATCTTCTGAAAATGTCCTTATCTGTAACAATAAATGGGCCAGCTAAAATTTCCATTCACATGATAAAATAAGGGGAATTGGGCCCTATAGCAAGAAAAAAAAACATAATTGGGTTACTAGCCAAAAACCCTCACAGACACACTCACGCCGTTTCTTTTCTATATTAATACTGTATTATCCCTACACTCAACCGGTTTCACCGGAACAGAAAAAAATTCCCCATTTATTTTCTTCGTCTCCCATTGTAAATCGTGTCTTATTCATCTCCACTATTTTTTTTTCACATATCCCAGTTTGGAGAAACCGAAAGGTCTCCGACAACACCTCCACTTAATCCCTCGAAACCGTCTTTTTCTCCGCAAATTTCATGTTCTCCGTCGTTGTAATCACATTCTTCATCTACTCCGGTATTTCATTTGAGAAAGATTCCTCGGTCTGTACTCCGCAGCCTCGACGCCTTGGTGAAATACACTTCTGAAACTCTTATTTTCTCCCATCTCTTCACCGAATGTAAGTTCTCTCTTTATTCTCTTACTCTCCTGTTATTGTCAATTCTTTTTCTAGTTTGTAGTGGGAGTTAGGGTTGTGGTGTTGTTAAATCTACAAAGTCATCCTACTAAATTTTCAGATTTGTTAATCAAATTAGCGTCTAACTTTTAAGTAGAATGAAATAGAATGGAATAGAAACAGAAACAATGTCGCTGAGTTTTTCTATTCTAAGTAGAATGGAATAGAAATAGTAACAATGTTTCTCATCTTAACATAGACTTGCATACGTTTTGTTCATGTTCTTATTCTTGCATACCTTTCTCAATAATACTAATTGGTCGATTGGATACCTAGTACAATACATTGTTGATTAGTAATTCTCTATACGATATGTTGATGTACATCTATTCCATTCCAAATGTATAGGAACTTCCTATCTGTATTTTTGTAGGTATATAGTATACTGTCATTTACATCTCCATTTGAGATGGCGTGGAATGGAATAATATATCTACATCTTACTATATAGCTACATATATACATATAGGTAATGTTTCACATGACAATTTAGTGCATTTATTTCATCATATGTGAAATAAATTGGACATAGCAACTTTATGACTCAGTTTACATAGATTTTCATACGTTCTTGTTCATGTTCTTATTCCTGATACGTTTGACATTTGGATTTAATATATGTTCCTTCCATTTAGAATGGAATAGAAGTAGATGCATTCATTCCATACTAGGTGAAATGGATTAGACATAGAAACTTTGTGTCTCAGTTTACATAGACTTGCATACGTTCTTGTTCATGGTCTTATTCTTCCATACGTTTGATATTTGGGTTAATATATGTGATACAAAACAACCTGGTTTATTACCTATATAATATTTGGTCGATTTCATACCTAGTGTATTACATTGTTGATGAGATTCCCACTATAGCTGAGTATGATCTAAATCTATTCCATTCCGAATGGAAATGAACTTATATAATATATCAACATTTACGTCTATTCTATTTGACATGGATTGGACTGGAATAATAGATGTTCATCTTGCTTCAGTTTACCATCATGATTAATTTCATGACATCATTGTATAGCTTATCTCTATTAACTATTTTCCCCTATTTTTTTTATTATGTTAGGTATGACATGGATGAGTTGGACCTTCCAAATAGATTGTTCGCGACAGGGTGTGAATCTAATGAAAAGAAAAGAGTAAACATACAGTCCAACCTCCGCTGAATTGAGATGATCAAGTACACATTAGAGTGTTCATTCTTGTTCATTTTTATTTCATATTCTCTTGATATGAGTTATGTATCGGTGTATATATGTATTTTATATTAGTGGGTGTATAAGATCTTGTAAAGAGAAATAATATATTGAACATAAATGAAATAGAATTTATTATGACATCAAATAAAACATGATACAATGTCATATTGAATGGGGACGATATTCATATGATGTTGTCTTTTCCACCTCTTTTCTTTAATGATGTCAATCTTCATTTCTTTCACTACAATCAGTTTAAATTTTGTGTAAACATTACTTCTTTTCCTGCAATTGTAGACACTGAAAAATTTGAACAATATATTATATGTTGTATCGTTTGTCACATTTTATGTTTAGTATGCTCATATAGAATGTAAATACATCTTACTGTCATTTCAAAATTAACTTATGAAAGATTGGGGTTGATATTGGTTTAGGGTTTATATTTCCATGTAGGGTTTAGTGATTAGGGTTTATATTTCAAAATCATTTCCATTTACCTAATTTATTTTCTAAATATGGCTAATACCCAAATAAGCCATTTTTCTATTTCTTATGCGATATATTTTGTTACTATACTATTTAATTATGTTCCATTCCATTTGACTGTTAATGGATTGGGGTTAATATTTTCTTTATTTTTGTTTAGTGATTAGCGTCCATAACATTTTAAATGACAATTTATGGGGTTCATATTTCCCTAACTTATGTTCATTGTTTAGTTGTGTAAAGAAAAGAAAGGTGTTAATCGCCAATGGATTGGAGTTTATATTTTCCTAATTTTTGTTTAGTGATTAGCGTCCATAATATTTTAAATGCCAATTTATGAGGTTTATATTTCTCTAACTATGTTTATTGATTGTGGTTTACATTTCTCTACCTTTTGTTTAGTGGGGTAAACAAAATAAAAGATTAACATAAGAAAGGGGTTAAAGAACAATGGATAGGGGTTTATATTTTCTGAATTTTTGTTTAGTGATTAGCGTCCATAACATTTTAAATGAAAATTTATGGGGTTTATATTTCCCTAACTTATGTTTATACATCTTCTCATGAGTAATGTAAATACATGTCTCCCATATTCTGACATGTGGGTTTAATTTCCCGAAGCTTTGGGTTGCCAATGGATTAGGGTTGATATTTCCCTAACTTGAGTTTAATGTTTGGTGTCAAGTGTTCTCTTATCTTTCCTCATTAATTTTGTATTTCATGTAACTCAATCATGGTTGTATTATGCCTACTGTATCGTTTAAAATAGTACAATTTATATAGAATAGAACAGTTTGCGTAAGATAACATTGCCAATAGATTAGGGTTTATATTTCCCTAACTTGGGTTTAGTGTTTGGTGTCAAGTGCTCTGTTACCCATCCCCATTAATGTTCTCTTTTATGTGGAATATCATTACTTTCAATTGCTTTGTAGGTAGACATAGTATGATATTACCAATCCCCTTTCGATTTGACATGAAATGGTAATTATTCAATTGTACTATTCCATTTCAGATAGTATTAAGTACTTGTCTGTTCCGCTTGGATCTGTTTCCATTTAATTGTGTTTTTTCTTCCATTTGAATAATATGGTCTCAGATGGACTGAATTCATGTCATATATTTATATGTGATTGCACGAAACAAATTTAATCATTCATTTTACTGCATATAATACATATGTATGTGGAAAATAAAAGTGCAACGTGTATGCACTATGTGAGGTGAAAGCAAGGAGATGTGTTCACTTCTATTAGCCACGTTATTTTTTTCACACTTTTACCTGATACCTGTAAAGAGAGAGGACAAAACCGGACACTTTAAGACATAAATGTTAGAAACTTCATTATGTCAAAATCAATGACATTTACCTAATTTGTATCTGAAATGTGTCTAGTTGGCAAATAAGCCCATAAAATAATTACTCTTACTCAACAAAAGTATTTTTTTTTTTTTTTTTTTTTGATAATCCAGTATCCGACCCCTAAACGCGANCTTACTCAACAAAAGTATTTTTTTTTTTTTTTTTTTTTGATAATCCAGTATCCGACCACTAAACGCGATCGTTTTAAGCCTCCACTTAAGGGCCCCTGGTTACGCGAAGTGGTTTGGAAGGCAAGAGCATCCCATGTAAATACCCTCGTGGCCCGCACAAATATTTGCAGCTGTGGGGATTCGAAACCAGAGTATTGAGGCCGAAGCTCTCTCAGCTGGACATCGTCCTACCACTAGCCCACTCGCGCGGGTTAACAACAACAACAAAAGTATTTATACAGTACTTATTATAACTAATGTTTAGGGTTATATTAGTGTAAATGGCCATCGAATGTCTAACGCTTTGTCGGAATCGAACTTATAAAAATGACATAGTACCTCTCAAAATCTGCATTTTTCTGACCCAAATAAACTAAATCATTAAACTATAAACATCACCAACACACTCTTTTTACGACGAATAAGCATCAATATATTTTTTATAAAAATTTGAAACTCTCAACATCTAGGATGTCAATTTTAAATATAAACTTGTTTTCAAATTCTAATACAGTTTTTTAACTCTTTTGTTTGCAGCACGAACTCTATAGAGACAGGTTAATCTGATACCTAGTCTAGTTAACCACAGATTAGCACTCACTCCTCATGATGAAATTACTTTTCAACTCATGCAATACACGAATAGTAATCTGGAAGCCTAACTAATCGTTTATTTAAACAGCTCATGGATCAATCCTCGTATTATGAATATTTGGTAAAGTTAGCTACATTCGTAAGATAAATATGAATGCATCATCTCTACTGATATGCCCATATGTAACATCTTTGAAATTATTAGATATCGTAAAACATGTATAAAACACTCAAGTCTAATTAAGCAAGCTGAAGAAAAATCACACATGAAAATCTTAGATGCAATATAAACTCACACATAAAACAAACAAATAAAAACAAACTCATGTGTTAACCAACCCTAAGAGCATCATTATCGGGGTATACTACCCCGTCTCTTAGCATTAATTTGATTTAGAAAAAAGTGAAAATTACCTTTTATTTGAAACAACGTCGCTTAATCAGGAGAAGGGAAAGCACGTCTCTTATGGGACACGCGTCAAAGTCTCCTCCTCTCTCTCATCTCTATCTCTCTCCCGATTGAAATCAGTCGGTTTCTC